GCTCCCACAGAACCCTAGAGCCAGAGGGGACCTCAAGAGCCATCGAGTCCAGTCCCCGGCCCTCCCGGCAGGACCCAGGGCTGCTCCGCATGCTGCCCACGGCCCGTTCTCTCCGCGGCACAGACCTGCTCTCCTCCTGGGCACAGAGCTCTCAGCTCCCCGGCCCTCCTGCCTGTGAGACCCGCCCAGGGGTCGGGGACCCCTCCCTCCCGCCTGCCTGAGAGCCCTTGGCACCCTCCCCCCGGACGGGCCCTGCCTGTGAGACCCGCCCAGGGGTCGGGGACCCCTCCCTCCCGCCTGCCTGAGAGCCCTTGGCACCCTCCCCCCGGACGGGCCCTGCCTGTGAGACCCGCCCAGGGGTCGGGGACCCCTCCCTCCCGCCTGCCTGAGAGCCCTTGGCACCCTCCCCCCGGACGGGCCCTGCCTGTGAGACCCGCCCAGGGGTCGGGGACCCCTCCCTCCCGCCTGCCTGAGAGCCCTTGGCACCCTCCCCCCGGACGGGCCCTGCCTGTGAGACCCGCCCAGGGGTCGGGGACCCCTCCCTCCCGCCTGCCTGAGAGCCCTTGGCACCCTCCCCCCGGACGGGCCCTGCCTGTGAGACCCGCCCAGGGGTCGGGGACCCCTCCCTCCCGCCTGCCTGAGAGCCCTTGGCACCCTCCCCCCGGACGGGCCCTGCCTGTGAGACCCGCCCAGGGGTCGGGGACCCCTCCCTCCCGCCTGCCTGAGAGCCCTTGGCACCCTCCCCCCGGACGGGCCCTGCCTGTGAGACCCGCCCAGGGGTCGGGGACCCCTCCCTCCCGCCTGCCTGAGAGCCCTTGGCACCCTCCCCCCGGACGGGCCCTGCCTGTGAGACCCGCCCAGGGGTCGGGGACCCCTCCCTCCCGCCTGCCTGAGAGCCCTTGGCACCCTCCCCCCGGACGGGCCCTGCCTGTGAGACCCGCCCAGGGGTCGGGGACCCCTCCCTCCCGCCTGCCTGAGAGCCCTTGGCACCCTCCCCCCGGACGGGCCCTGCCTGTGAGACCCGCCCAGGGGTCGGGGACCCCTCCCTCCCGCCTGCCTGAGAGCCCTTGGCACCCTCCCCCCGGACGGGCCCTGCCTGTGAGACCCGCCCAGGGGTCGGGGACCCCTCCCTCCCGCCTGCCTGAGAGCCCTTGGCACCCTCCCCCCGGACGGGCCCTGCCTGTGAGACCCGCCCAGGGGTCGGGGACCCCTCCCTCCCGCCTGCCTGAGAGCCCTTGGCACCCTCCCCCCGGACGGGCCCTGCCTGTGAGACCCGCCCAGGGGTCGGGGACCCCTCCCTCCCGCCTGCCTGAGAGCCCTTGGCACCCTCCCCCCGGACGGGCCCTGCCTGTGAGACCCGCCCAGGGGTCGGGGACCCCTCCCTCCCGCCTGCCTGAGAGCCCTTGGCACCCTCCCCCCGGACGGGCCCTGCCTGTGAGACCCGCCCAGGGGTCGGGGACCCCTCCCGCCCGCCTGCCTGAGAGCCCTTGGCACCCTCCCCCCAGACAGGCCCACAGCAGAGACCAGCGAGCAGCACAAGGGCAGCCCACGCCGGCAGTCACAGCCACAAGCGATCACACTCGCAGGCCTGCAACACGCCCTTCTCACAC